AAAAGACCGATCCGCTTTATATTTTCATTCTTGTATGTATTTGTAGTCTTTATGCACGTATATGGATTTGTATAAGTGATAAAAGCCTAAAAATAGGACGACCATAAACGACACTAGGCCCGTTCAACTAAATGACAAACGCAAACCGTTCTAAATGGTTTTTCTTTGTAAGATGATCCTAAACACAAAGTGGATAGTGATTGAACCTTTTTCGAAAATACGTGAGAGTGGTGAGATTGACAGTTTGAAGAAAAAAAAATATATCTAAAATAAACGATGAAAGATTTGGTAAGAAAACAATCATGTGAAAATGTTTCCTAAGATGCAATTATTAAAAGAAAAAATATATTTAGGATATTATTTTATAAAATTAATTTAATTTACTTATATTATTGTTTTATGTTATATAAAATAAAATGATCAAATATGTGAGACTATGAACCGAAGTTATTCTTGCAAACGATTAAAGGTAATAATAATCTTCTTGAATAAAAATGAAAATGAGATAAATCTTTTTTTCTAGTAATATTAATCGAGATAAAATAATAATGCGAGTACTGGCGATAACTTAGGAAGTTGGACGATGTCATAGTCAGAAAGTAGGTACTTCCCTTATTAGATTAACTCTGCCATCATAGTAACCATATATGCTTGGGGCTTGCACTCACGACTTGACCAACTTGCAGAGGACCCAAGGTGAAGAGTAATAGACGGGAAGGCTAGGGGATACGTGGGGTAGAGACACCGAAGTGTAATGCGGTCTACGCTTCAGTCTATAATAATGTTATGCACCTAACTAACTTCGTCGATCTAGTTCCCCAATATACTCTCCCACCCTCCAATCTTACACGTTCTGAATCTACGTGCCGGTTATTACCCTTACTCGCATTTAATCTAAAGAAAGAGAAATATGCAGTGAGAGAAATAAAAGAGAAAGATTTATTCAACGAAATTATATTTCAATGTTATTTAATATCTAAATAAAAAATTCATCCTCTTTTACATCTCTCACTAATCTTACCTCTTTTACCTATGAGTTTCTTTAATTCATTTTTCACCACACTTTAAATCAATTTTTCGTTATATCTGTAATATGTGTACACACATTGATTACCTAATTCAATGTTTAAACAGTTCAATGATCAAAGCATATATAGTTTTGAGGTTTGTTTTCCTAATTAACGATTGAATTCTACCTCGTTATTGACCTAATCTCTCTTTGATATCATTAATCAATGATTATTTTTCTCTAAATTAAAATATCTTAAATACCAAATGAACGTTAATTAAATATCTTCGATAATGCATAATAACATTTAAATAATTAATCACTTAATTAAATAAATCAAGAATAACGTGAAATGTAAAATACGCATATTATATTCTATTTTTAATTATTATTTATTTTTGCAGGTGAATAATACGTATCATTCATATACTCTAACTACTATAAATCACGAATTAATAATGGCACACATTCCACGTTCATCTAGACTATTTGTTAATGAACACGAATAGGAAAAAGTCAATGAAATTGGAATGTTGAACGTAGAGTAGCTACTAACAAGGGAGAATTAATTATTCGAACATGTGGTCGATAGATTATATAATATTTTACATATACCAACTAAATTGGAAACACCTGAAACTGACGGGGGACTAAACTTTCTCGTCTAAAATCTAAACAGGTTCTCTCGCTATCTCACTATCCCTTACTATCTCTCTCTCTCTTTCACACACTCTTGTTCACCCTCATTTACAGGTTAAGAGAAGGGAGGGAGGAGAGAGAGAGAGAGATAGGGAAGCTTCAATAACCGGAAGACATCACCTTCAGGTGTTGAATCCTCTGCATAGTGCGTGTGCATCTGTGTTTATGTCTGTGTATGTACGTGCATCGCCACTATGTTAATAGGAATAGTGTTTGTGTATGTGTATGTATATATGTATGTGTGCGCAAACGCGTTTGAACGACCGCGGCAACGGTACGTTATAGATGCTTCTCGGATGCAATCAAACCGTAATAGAATGTCCACGGTAAATAATAGCGTTCCTCCTTTCATGGTTCATCGCCAACATCGATGCACCATGAATATTGTCGAACGAAACTTCCCATTCCATTGAATTTCTAGTTTTCTACCAACGCTAATAGCATCTTTTCGCATGTTTCCTTTCCCCCCCTTTCTATTCGAGAATATATTGCTCAGTTACGTGTGTGTATCAGTGTATACAATTGTGTCTGTGTGTGTTATTGACGATTATCGAATTTATTCTACCAATAGAATGTTTTATTCAAAACTACTATCTCAAATAAAAAATAAAAGGAGGATAAAAAAGGTAACTTCTGTTGAAGTAGATTATATCGTAAAAAACGTGAGTTTGGTTAGTATCATATCACATATTCGTTTATAATCTAAAACTGAATTTTTACTGTAGAAAATAAAAAGAAGAAAAAAAATTGTAACAAATTTTTACGAATATGAATTATAAAATAATCCGAAAAATCTTGATGAAAGAGAAAAAGATTATGATAAAATAAATTTTTGAAAATAATTTAAAATTACTGGCAGAATTAAATTTATGCGCCAAAGGATAAAACGAATATTGGGTGAGAAAAATGTTGTGATATGAAAAGAAAAGACAATAAAAAAAATTGAACAAATATTTTGCAAGGTATATATATATATATATATCGTGTTCGACTCAACCAATAATATTTGACGAAAATAGAGTCTTCACTGTAGTATCTGGTGCAAAATTTCGATTCTAGAACAAGAGGTAAAAAATTCAAAAAAAATCAAAAAGAAAAAAGAAAGGAAGTATCGAACGGAAACGTAGCGATATGTCGGTGAATAGTGCAGAAAAAAAGGGGAAAATCGAAACGCATTCGTTAACGAACGCTCTTTCGGTAGACTTCATACACAACATTTGGTCTTTCGAAAAATCAAAGAGCGTATACCGTCGACACAAAGCAAACCGGTTTCGTGTCGTACTGATGAAACTGAAATTGGACACCGTGCACGCCGTTCTACCGTTCTCGGAATCATGTAAAGAATTGCTAGAACGAAAGAGAGAGTGAGAGAAAAAGTAAGAGAGAGTGAGTGAGAGAGAGAGAGAGAGAGAGCAAACGAGGGAAATTGCGATATAGATGCAAAATTTCAGCGAGCACGACAAAATTGGATAAAAAAGTTAATACGTTCTCTTTCTCTCCCTATCTCACTCTCTCGGTCATGTGGGCCCTTTTTTCCTCTCGCACAGTGTAAGAGCGAAGGACAAAATAAAAAAAAATTCAACGCTGAGTTAACGAGAATCCGGTGAAGAGAGTAAAGGAGACCTGTTATCAGTGATAACTAATATCCTATCTTCATTTTCTTTATCACCAACCTTTCTATCTACTTTTTCATTGAGAAAAAAAAAGAAAAATTATAAAATAAAATTCTATGCTCACTACAAAAATAAGTTCCCTACGAATGTTCAATAATTTTTTTTTTTTTTAATTATTTATTACGAAAATAGAAAATTAAATAAATAAAATATTAAATATATATTTATATTAATCGCACGAGATGAAATAAATTGAATGCCTCACGGTACAGAAGAAAATTAATAAGAAAAAAGAAAAGGAGGAAAAAAAAATAGAAAATTTTAAAAGAGGGATAGAAATAAAATCCACCCCCAAAAGGAAAAAAAGAAATATAGCCGGATAAACGACTCGATAAAGGGAATTCGGATGAACGAAAGGCGTCATCGACGAAAACCACGGATCGACGGAATCCACGTTATTCGTTGGGTACGTATACATATATATATATACATACTACACATACACACACGTGAATACATATAAGCCATTGGAAACTGACCGTAAAACGTAGCTGGGTTTCGTGCTAGCGCGCGTATTTACGCTTGCGTCCGTATCTGAGAAATTGAAATTGATTTATCGATGAATCGCCGATTGAAAGGTCGAACGGGTGGCTAACGAATGGGACTGACGGACGAATGCAGGCCACAGAGCTCGTTTGAAATTCATGAATTCCGCCATATCTATAACCAATTAGGACACACACGGTCGAGCGAGTTTGGGATGACTTGGAAGGGAGGGTGACGAAGGGTGAGCAGGGAAGTGGGAGAAGGTGGTAGAGTGATGTGATAAGGGTGGGGGAAAAGGGGTGAACAGGTTTGAAGAGGATAGAAGAACCAACCCTCTCCTGGCACGAGCACTCTCCTCCCCCCCCCGTCCCCCCTCCCCCTCCACGTCCTGTCTCACCCCCAAACCCACGGACAACTTTAATGAAAGCCTTTCAAAATTCACCGAACGCTCCATTCTTTATCGAAGCAATTAGAATTCCCATGCAGCTTGCATAAACTATCGGCTGCCGGGCGGTCGATGGGGAAAAGGAAGAAAATTACTGGAGTGCCCGCAAACCGTATCTGAGCTTCCCTTGTGGTTAGATATTACGTGCGGTCGTCGATTCTAATTAGAAGGAAGTACAACGCCGTTAAAACTGCGAAAAGGGAGACTACAAAAACGTGCTGCTTTCTAACCTTCTGATATATATATATATATATGTATATTGTATATATCTATATACAAAATAGAAAGAGTGTATATGTATGTATATATGTATACTATTTAACGTTTTAATTTATACCTCAGTTGCAAAGCTTTTTTCTTTCTCTATTTACCCACTGACACGATTAAGAACTTTTTATTCTCGAATAAATTTCTAAACTTTTTCTACGTAAATAAAACGAGAAATGTCTTTAAAATAAAGTCATATCAAAAACGATGAAATAAATTTTGTAAAATTCAATCTTATTTAAGATCGAACAACATTATACAATTCTCGTGTTACCATAGGACAATTTAATCGTTTCAATTCGAGACATCCAAACCAATGTAGGGTAGGTAAATTTCCAAAGCTGTAACTAACAATGAAGACACAACGAAGACGAGAACGTTTCTGGAGAGTAACTCCTTGGAAACGTAGATTTCAACGTACCTGATTCCTCCACGGGTGGTATCGTAATTCAGTGTACGAGTTCCATGCCGCCATGTTACGTATCCAGTTGGTTGAGGTATATTGCTAACGACACACTTCAGCTCTATCGTACTACCTGCTTTATAGAATTTATCGCCGGTGGTCTCACCATGCTCATCAACTATCTCAACTCTTGGTACTGTAAAACAAAAAGGATAAATATTTTTCTTTTATTATATTACATTTCAATATTCAAACATATTTAAACATTTAAAGTAACATTGAAATAAATGTAATTATTAATATATATATATATATATATGTATGTTTTTTATTTCCTAAATGAATAGAATTTTATTTAATGTATAAAAATTATTTAAATAATAATTATAATATATTCTTATTTAAGATTATTTGTTACATTTATGTGATATTAAATGTAACACATAATTTGAAACGAAGACAGTAATAATTGTGTATTCACGAGTATGTTGTGAAGAATGATTAACAATATGATATATAAAAAGAAATAATTAGAGTATCCGAAACAAAGATAAAATATATCGATAAACACTTTGAACGATGTGTGACTTTAGAATTGCGGTCGCAAGAAGCCGCAACGAGTACGCCGCGAAACGTCCAAAGTCAAACTGTAATCTGGAATCTAAGGGTCGTAGTAATATATTTACTCTGTGGTTTTGAGAGAGTTTAGATAAATACATAGCACTCAACGTATCAAAGAGAATCTATTTACTCGTATCTATATATATATAGATTCTAATTTATCTTCATAGAAACGATGAATTATTGAATCTTTAAAAATTCTTATAATGAGCATAGTCATATGACAATGTTTGTTTCAGTCAAATGATATAAAATAATTATTATACATTGTACTTTTTTTTTCTATCAATCATGATAATCAAAAAATACAAAGTAATGTGAATTAATAAAAATTTTAATAAATTTTTAAATTAATTTTAATTTAATAAAAGATCAGCACATTACAAAAATTGTACTGAAAAAAACAAGTATATTTTTTATTCAAAATAATTATAATGAATTTAACATTAATAAATATATACACATAAAGTGTTACAATTAAAGATACGTTATACTAATATTTATTTAGGTGATTGAATACAAAAGTATAAATTTAATTTAGTTGAAAAAAAATAAATGATAAATAGTAAAATATTAATAAATGTTTATTAGCGAAACATAAATAATCGTCATATCAGTGATTAGTAGAAAGGAGAGGTATCGAGTATATCACGTTACTACGTCGTTCATTTAATCGGTTATACGGAGTTCTATGGAACGAGCTCCATTTGAGTATAAAGTTATATCGTGCCTCGATGGAGTCTGTTGGAAGCAACAGTCTGGAATTAATTTCGATGTTGCTAGCTAGCGGAGGCGAAGAAACACCGACGAGGAGTAACGAACGAACGAACGAACGAACGAACGAAGGAAGGAAGGAAGGAAGGAAGGAAGTGAAGTAAAAGGATGGTGGTGGTTGGGTAAAAGGAAACGAAACAAGCTAGACATACATATGTGCATATGTATGTTTGTATAAAATGATATACACATACGTTTAAAAGAAGAATCGATTGTAATTGAAATGAAAAGTGATAAAAAGAAGTCTCTTACTAAACTTTTTTACAACCTAAAATTCAACGCGTGGTAAAACACACAAAAAAACACACACAGACTATTGGTTCGATATAAACTTAAAGAAATTCTCGAAACTATGAAAAAGAAAACAATGAAAGGAGGAGAAGGAGAAGAAAAAAGAACAATCTATGAACAAATAGTTTGTGTTATATATTTTTATAGGAGAAAAAAAAAAGAACTAAGAAGAGAATCGAGTTTTATAACTTTACGTGATAGATAAAAATCATGACTTGTTTTTTTCTTTTTTTTTCTTGTTACGTTCCAGTAGACTATTCACAGTGTTGTTTCTATGGCTTTTGTCAATTTTCAATATCTTAAAGGTAAAGTGAAAAAAAGAAGTCTATTGTAACTATTGCAATCACTTATTAGAGGAAGTTCAAGATATAGAATAGGAGTAGGTATAGGGATAAAGATCGACAAAAGAAATGTACAAAGAGTTATACAAAGATAGTCATGTGTACTTGTGTTTGTATACTTGTTTATACGTTTCTATGTATGTATATACCTATACGTATACAAGGTAGATAGATTGGAAGAGAGAATAGGGATGGTTGATAGAAGGATGTACTCTGACTTAACGAATAGTAGGAATCCGCGAGTTTAGTTAATTCCAAAGTAGCTGGTCTCGGTTTCTCTGTCGGGATGTTACCAGTAACCAGAGAGATGTAGTACGATAAACGAGAAACGACTCTCAGGTACTGTGTGAAGGAAGGAAACTGAATAGCTGGTAGAAGGAATGTTCAGTAGGAGGAGGAAGATGAAGAACGGAAGAGAACATAGATGACAGAAAGTGGGAGGTAAATAAGGATAAAGAGAAGAGAGAGAGAAAGAGAAACAGGACGAGAGAACGACAACCATAGTAGCAATCAGAAGAACGAGAACGAACGACTACGAGTTCGCAGCAAACAATCGTACGATCCTTTGCTTCGTGACGCCAGTTAATCAAAGCCTCAACGGACTGGTAGACCACTGTGTTGTTTTCTCTCTCTCTCTCTCTCTCTCTCTCTCTTTCTCTCCCTTTCTCTCTTTCTCTTTTCTTTTCTCTCTTGGATGCTGACGTTCACAAACAATAGTCCACTAGAAGCAAACTTTTAAAACGTCCATTTGAAAAAAAAAAAGAAAAAAAATCCATTTTCACCGAAACGAAGGGCCACCGTAACCATTGACACTCAACCTTTTCTCTCTCTCTTTCTTTTCCCTAGAATCTCGATATTTTTTTGCGTTTTACTACGTGTGTTTCTAGTATCACCCTACGATCGGCTAAACAACAAACGTTGGTTCTGCGTTACTACTCTTTAATTATTCTCCATTGTGTCTGTCAGAAAAAGAAAAATTAAAAGATTGAGAGAGAGTCTCGGTTGACCAGCCGTCGGAACCAGCACTATTTTCCATTTAACTTTTCTCTATTATTTCGAAAATACTAGCCTCAAACGCAAAGTCCTCTGTTGGCTAACCGAATCGAGAGAAAAAAAGGAAAACAAGAAAAGAGGAAATAGAAAGAACAAGTCGTTGAATAAAAGAGAATAGAGAAACAATGGTTGCTGTGATTTCTTTAGGAAAAATGGTGCTGGTTTTACTTGGACCTACCTACCTACCTTCCTTCCTTCCTTCCTTCCTTCCTTCCTTCCTTCCTTTTTTCTTTCTTTCTTTCTTTCTTACTTTCCTTGAGCTTCCTTTGTTTCTTAGGAAAACGTTCTGAGCCATAGGAAACTTACTTTCTCCGAATAAAGAAGAAGAAGAAGAAGTCTCCCAATGTACTCGACCCGAATCTTACCAACTCCCGTCCCGCGGACAAAGAATAATACCCAGCTAGGATCTTTCTTACCCTTCTGCCTTGTACCTTTCGACGCATACCTCCCACTCCTTTCACCCCTCTCTCCCCACCTAAGTTTCTACTTTTGCCGCGTGAGAACTTTCAGGCTTCCCGGTTAAAATCCTTCGGCACGACGACAACAAGTCGAAACTTTACTCGTGGTGTACCACGTTACTAATACTAATACTATTACTATTTCTGTAATAGTATTCGACAGATCTTACTTCCTTTCAAAAAGGGCAGTTACCACTGCTACTTACTACAAAATGTTCATACTTTTCACCATTGCGTTTTACTAGCGACTACGTAAATACGTAGTTTTGTTGAATAAACAAATGGAACAAAATAATTTAACGAGAAAAATTTCTTAGATGAAACGAGTTTTAAGTTTTTGTCTCTAACGTGTTTAATATTATTTCGAATCGCATTCTCGCTACCGAGATAAGGATGATAATAAGATGCAAAGTGATAACGTGGTACTGTGAATACTTTTAAAGAAAACTAAGACATGATACGTTCGAGTAAAAAATTGTAACTTTTCGTACCGTATCGTTGGTGTATAAAACAAACTTTTAACTGATAATATAGAAACACACGTGTATGAATTTTTTTTTTATAGAATATAAAGGTAACATAAAAAAATAAAACATAAAAAATAAAGTTTGGTTTTCTATAGGAGAAACAAATGAGATAAACTACTGTAGTACCACTAACAAACCGTATTTACTAACATACGAAAGAGTAGTCTGATTTCATATCGAGTTATACTACTGCTACTACTTACTTTACACTCGCTAAGCGTTATGCTTAATTTATAAAAAAAAAAAAAAAAGTTTGACGCGATATCTTCAGCGTTATTATTTACACTCGTAAAGACAGTTTTTAAGTAAAAATATAAAAAAAAAAACCAACTTAAAGTGGAAGTGTTATAAAAAGAAAAAGAAATTAAATACGAACAGACGTAAAAATTACAGAGAATGGAAGAAAAAAAAAGAATAAACCATGTTTGAAAAATATACGATAAAAAAGTTATAAGAATTTTTATAGAAAAAATCATCAGTGAGGGTCTACATCTTAGCCCATGCAATTTCAAGTTTTCTCCGTTGACTTTATCAACCGGTTAAGTTTGACTCGCATTCGTCTTCGTTGTTACGAAACGGCATGCACGCGTAAACGCGATATCGCAACCACGGATAACACACTGTGCACACCAACGTTGCAACAACTGTCGCGACTTTGCGTGTACTACCACCACCCACCCACTCTACCCCTCTGTTTGTCATATCAAAGCATGCATATATTTTACTCGAGCGACGTTAGCATCACGACGACTAGAGGGAGGTTACCCTGTAACATAATTTGCATGTTAGCTGCAACAGAAAGAGAGAGAGAGAGAGAGAGAGAGAGAGAGAAGACAGAACGGATATGCGTATATTTGAGGAATGATATGCAATCCCTCCTATGTTTTTTTCGCTTTTTTTTTTATGTTTTCTTTTTCTGTCTCTTTTATTGGGTAACACCGTAAGAAATATACGATTTCACTGTCGGAAAGAAAAACGATTGAAAATTGTAAATTTGAATATCTATCATTGTAATTCTACTCGAGTTTATATAAAAATGTAAATTTCATTTGTGCCTAATCGGTAGTCTCTAAATTTTATAACATTTATTTATTTATAAAATAATTAATTAATTTGATAAAAAAGAAAAAG